AGGACCATCTCATAACCATGAGGAAGCAGGGAAGGCTGGGAAGAGAGAGGAGATGAATCCAGGCCCTTGATGAAACTGCTGATGCAGTAAGACTCCAGTGCTGAGATCATAAATGCCTTCATTGTTTACGTGGCAACCAAAAACACCCTATGACACACCCCATAATGCAGGGAGACCCTTGAACTGGGCATCCCTGTTACCTCCTAGCACCATTCCCCAGAAACACCCACTGTCTAATGTATTGTACTTCTTCACACCTCCAGAACTGGTATGCCTGAGTCATTCTTCTTAAAAAATTTAACTAGCAACTTGGAGGATACACCCTATGCAATGTAAGCAACACCGGAGAGGAAGGAAAGGAGTTCCACATACTAGCGTGAAATCGTTTCATCAGACAGGGCCGGCCACAGCAGCTGGTACTGGCTGTAGAGGGCTGCGGTGGAGGTGTGGGTGCAGGGCCTGGGGGCCGGAGAGAGGCAGGGGCTCCCGGGGCCTCCGATCCACCCAGTAAGTGCAACAGGCGGCAGCAGGAACTCCAGGTGAGGAGAGTTGCCTGGTGTCCTGGGAGGGGCTCAGAGAGGATGCCAGGAATGGAGGGAGAGAACCTTCTCCAGTGGTATCCCTCCTCCTGGATACCAGAGGACACTCCTGTCTTCCTGCCCCTGTTCCAGAAATGGACACCACATCTTTATCACCACAGCATGACGCTCCCCCAGGGGATGCTTCCTGCTTCTGAAGCCTTCCCCAGTGACCCTCACTGAACAGCTCCGCACAGAAAGGCCTGCAGTGTCTCAGGTGACCAGGCTAGGCACCTGGGCAAACACCGGGCCTGTCATGGGACAGGACATGAGCAGGTGTGTGCGGAGACCAGACGCAGCACCCGGCTCTGGTTTCCCACTCCTCAGCCAGCTGATGGCGAAAGGGACGGTTGAGAGATTACACCCACAGAGGGAAGGCTGCCCTGAATCCAAGCTCCATGCCGCCGGCACCTGCTCCACACGTAAGCTCATCGCAGCAGTGGCGTTCCTCCGTGCTCAGCGGGCACCGGTCGTCCACGCCCTTGACACGCATTAACTCATTTAGCCTCTGATAAGCCTCTGGAGTTGCCACCACCATCAGCCAGCTTCGCAGATGAGAAAACTAAGATGCAGAAAGATTAAGCTACTTGCCCAAAGTCACACAGCTAGTTGGAGATCCACAGGGAATTCGCCTTACTTATAATTCAAAATATCAAAAATAGAAATTATTGGTATTTGGAGCCCCAAGTGATTAATTCTCATATATGAAGTTCGGCATTTATTTTAAAATCCCATGAAGGCATCTATGTGATTTAATGTAATTGGCACTCAATCCACACAGACCTGGGTTTGAATGCCAGTTCAACCCCCTGCAACGGCCCTTAGGTGGTGGGTGCCTTAACCACTCCTCACCTGGGCTTCCTCTTTCAATACCCTACTCCCCTCCCACAGGATCTCCTCAAAGGAGCCACAGGAAGAGAAGAGGGCAGGACTGGTATGCAGGTGGTGCTCAGCTCACATTAATTCCCTTCTCCTTTAGGATTAAAACTCATCACACTTAAAGGAGACGTCTAAGAAAGTATGAAGTTACAGAAACTTCCACAATAAAAGATGAAGAAAACCTAATAAGACAAAATGGGCAAACTATACATAATTTCCAGAAGCTAAAATGTAAACTAGCAAGAAAAGGTTTTCAATATTTTTGCTAAGTTGGGAAATGCAACCAAAACAATGTCTTCTTTATCCATTTGATTTGCAAAAATTAACAAGATTTATACTCTTCAGTGTTGGATGAGTTAAAAGGAAAAAGACAATTTCACACACCAATGGAAAAAGTAGAAACTGAGAAAGCCTCTTGAAAGTGGGGGGCAATTTGGTAAAATTATCAATTTAAAATTACTCTTTGGCCCAGAAATTCTACCTCTAGGGATGTAGAAGACTGAAATATCTACGAGTAACAATGATACTGTTCACAGATTCCCCACTATTTTTAGAGCAGAAAATTGGAAACAACCTAAATGTGTCCTTCAAGAAAGAATAGTTAAGCTATGGTACATCCACACTCTCGAATACAGACAGAGAAAGAGGCACACTCCTCATGTCAGTACATACAGGTCTCCAGGCACAGTACTAAATTTAAAAAACAAATGTGAGAAAATTCTGTGTGACGCATTTGTCCACTGAAAAGGCCTAGAAGCACTGGCACCCAGGAGCAATGCACACACCTCACACCCAGATCTTGGTTTCTAAATACCATTCTCCACTGAAAGAACCAAGACTCTGGAGAAATGGCTGGTTCCAGGGCTGGAATGTACAGGTTGAAGATATTGTGCCAGCAGGTAAAGCAATTCTCAAAGAATGAAGAGGATGTGTAAAAAGGGCAAATGAGTCAGCATGATGGGCCCCTGCAGGCCAAGTCTGGGACAATTTAAGCAACACAATGAACAATGAGAGTAACAGACTTATAGATGTAGAAAAAAGCTATGGACTGGGAAATCCCATCTGTCAACTACCAACATACGTGATTCAGGTAAGACTCATCAATGGATTGTAAGAGAGTGAAGAAAGTGTGAAGAGTAACACACAGTCTCAAGTTGTCTTACCATGAGGTATAAAGTAACTAGAGAGATGAAAATGGTTAACTTTCCTGTGAGGGAACATGGTGCCTTAATCAAGGGATGAGTTAGTATGACCAGTGACAGGGACTAGTGACAGCATATGGAACATGCTAAGACAGCTGCTCAAAAAAAAAACAGTAAGGAGAGCAAGGTGTGCATATGTATGAAATATAAGTAAATTCCTGAGGGTTAGGTCCATGATGGCACTTCCATTAAAAGCACAGAGACAAAACAAGGTTGGCTGTCTTGGGGTTCATTCTGGCCTCCCCAGAATACGTTATCCTCACAGACTTTCTGCTCCAGGACACTGGGAAAAAAGCTGTTTTAAATGCTCCCTCAAGACCACTTCATCACTCACGTTCCACGAGAAGCAATGACATAATCAAGCCTCCTTCACTGCAAATTCGTGCTCATTTTCTCTCCGCGACAGCTGAGCATCTTAACACCGTGAGTTGCTGAGGATGCTATAAGGACTTGCCTGGGAATAGCTATGTACATAATCTGGAAGGAAGGTTTTTGTAAGAAACCAGAATAACAGTCTTGGTCCAGAGTCTCCTTCTCTGCTCTGTCTGGTTGGGTTCCTGAGATGTTCAGCCATGGGATGCGGGTCGGGGGTCAGTTGGCCTCACACGCCTTTCCATTCCGTGCCTCTGGTGCATTTGCAGGTCTGCTGGCTGGGAAGTGCTCCAGCAGGCAGCTGGCTAAAGGGACTTTGAGGGCCAACAGTTCTCTCTGTATCGTACATCCTGCCTCGCTGGTGCTTCACAGTTCACAACGCACTCTCATGTACATTATTTTATTTTACCCCTTCCTTAAGGTGATTAAAAACAAAAAATCCTAACATTCAGTTGAACAGCCTTATGACAAAATATCAGTTTTCAAAACAATGTGACAAACTATGTCCCCGGTTGACTTAGAATCTACTTGGGAAACAGGACTTGTGCCTGGGGAGATAAACACTGAGATGGCATGAGCCAAATAAAAAAAGAGATAAGTAGCTACTAGAATTAGTATGATTAACTCTGTCGATGAGTTAATCCCGCCCTCCTTTGTCTTTGCATCTGTCCAGCATCCATCCATTCAAGCCCTGTCTTCCGGACAAACCATCCTGGTAACACCGGCTTGTTGCACTGCAGGCGTGTGTACTGGGCGCAGCACCCCAGGGACCGGACGTGGCCTTCTGACACCAACCCCCCATCAGAACAACCACGCTTTCCCATGTGGGCACCATGATTGTCTTCCTTCAAAGAAACCAATAACAACCTTCTAGGAGTAAACATTTCTGCAAAGAACTCCCCAAAAGAAAGGCCCTCGCCTAGATCCAAGGTAAAAATTCCACTTAAAGAAAATTCCTCTCATCCATAGAAAAATTAGGCTTACTTCTTCACCGATGCCAAGGGCGTGGGAGGTTCCAAAACACTTCAGAACAGGAGTTAGCAAGTGGCAGGTCCAGGATCACACCCAGCGGGACTGCTGTCCCCCCTCCGCGGCTTGCCCACAGTCCACACCCTCCACTGTGAGCCCAGACGAAGCAGGCAACAATTTCACTGCAACATTCAAATGCCACCCCACCCCCTCGCCCGGTTTAGGTGCCCTGAGGGGCAGGTGACAGATGAAACATGCCTCTTAGCAGCCCCCACCACCCCCAACACAAAACATTCAGAAGCAAAGCAGAAACCTAGAAGACGGGCCTTCCCACTGCCCATACTGATTTCCTACCCAAAGGAGTACTTTCTGATCTGTCAGTATAGCCGAACCCGGGCGGGAGGAACGCACCGTTATGTAATGTCAGAGGGCAGGCCACAAGGGGAAGGGAAAGCGGGCCCACACAGACATCCTCTACCTTTGACACAGTGTTTCAGTCTCCTATGGCCTACACATGATGGCTTTTCCCGGGAGGTGGTCCCAGCTCCCTGCATATGTCTCAGGTCTCCGTTTACTGACAGGCAACGCCAGAAAGAAAGAAAATACAAAAAGCAAAGATGCCAGAGATGCTGTCGGGGGTTAGGGGCCGGCGGCGAAGGGCAGCGTTGCGAAGATGGACGGAAGATGTCCCACGTATATTTACACCCAACATGTTTACATCCTCAACACGGCGAGGCCCTCCACGCCCGGCATCGCCAGAAACGCAGGAGACGCACCGGCGGTGCCGGTCCGCGGTCCTGGCCCGGACGCCGGTCTGCAGCGCCCGCGCGCGGGGCCGCCGGGTCTCGGAGGACGCGGCCGCGGTACCCCGCCGCGCTGCGAATTTCCATGACAACGCGGCGTCCCCGCGGCCGGCGGCCGGCGCCCGGTGTCAGGGATGCGCGCCGCCCCCCGCGACGGGCATCCGGGTCCCGGCTCCGCCGCGCCCCCGGCCACCTACCTGGGCCGCCCCGGCCCGCGGCGCCCGCCCGCTGCCCCGCCGTCGGCCCGCCGGGTCGCGCGCCCGGGCCCCGCCGCTGCAGCGCCGCCGCTGAGTCGCCGAGTCGTGGGCTCCGGCCCGGCTCCAGGCGCTGGTCCTCCGGCTCCGGCCGCCGACCCGCCGCCGCGCCACAGCCCGCACCCGGCTCGGCCGCCGCCGCTCTGGAAGCCGGGCCACCAGCCCCGCCCCGCCCGCCCCGCCCCTGGCCGCGCATGCGCCCCGCCGGGCCCGCCCCAGACCGGCTGCAACCCGGCTCCCGGCTCCCGGCTCCCGGCTCCCGCGAGACCCGCGGCCGCGGGGCTGTCACCTGCGGGGCTCCGGGCCGCGCACCTGCCCGGCCGGTGTGAGCGCCCGGCGGGCCCCGTGCGCGGTCCTAGGAGAGCACCCAGGCCGCCCCGCCGTTTGCCCGCGGGATGAACGCTGTCCCTGAGGCAGTGCCCTCACCCCGGGGAGAAGTTGGGAAACGCCAGACTTAACCCAGAAACACGCACAAGTACCGTCTTACTGCCAAAAGCAAATAAACAAAAAGAAGAGAAACTCATAAAACCCTTCCAGAATGTGCTGGAATGTAAATGGGCATTTGTAGACTTCTCCCCCAAAGCTCTATTTTTTTTTTTACAGGAAAATAAAATAGAATTGTGGAAGAAATTTTTTATTTTAATGTAACTTTAAACCTTAATATTTCTGCTTGAGAAAGAATAAATATGGAACTGGAGATAAACATTTTATCTTGAAGTCTTCAAATTCTATCAGAAAAAAACTATTTCTTAAAAATTATTAAAAGAACCATTTTAATTCAATAAACCTTAACTCTTCTCAGCATTCACATCCCTCAGGTATGAAAGCTAGCATTTATAATTTGCCTTTAAACTAGGGGTGTCGAACTCAATCAGAGAAGGGGCCAAAATCTAAAATCCAGCCTAAATCGCAGGCCGAATGGTTTACTGAACACTCATAAACTGTCATTGTGATGGAAACGCAGCGGAGTGCAGTGATGACAGCGCGGTGCGGGCCACATTGCAAGGCCTGGCGGGACGGATTTGGCCCGAGGGCCTTGTGTTTGACACATGTGCTTTAAACGGAAATATATTAGCCTATTAAAAATAAAAGATAAACAGTTCTCTGATCTCATTTAGAATTATATCAGAGACTCCAAGTGTCACCAAAAACTAAATTCAGATAATAGTCTGGAATGAAAATAAACAAATATAAAACTGCTTTAAAGGTGTAATTTATTTTCTGACTTTTTACTTTATTTCTCCTCTGCGGAGTAGTTAATAAACAAAACACGTTTTATTACTTTTTCAAATAAATGGAAAGAAATGGCAGAACTTTAGCCCTAGGATAAAATTAAAGTCAGAAAATCAAACAAACTTGTGGAAATGCAAAAGTATTTTTATATTTTATTTTCTAAAATAAGAGTAACCAATGAGACAGCCACAGTTGGCACATTTACCCAGCCAAACTATTAATAGTGTCTCCTTTCACTCTCAAAAATGTTCTCAAAGAAGTTCAGACAATATATTTTATGGTCATGCTAGCTGTAATCAAGTTGAGAGAATTTTTAAATCTTAGCTTAAAAAGAAAAAGACACTTAAATTCACAAACATTTAAAAATAGACATCAGCTCAATTTCAACAATTTATTCATTTAACATAGTAACAAACACTGAATGAAGATCAGGCTTTTAATAACATTTGTCACTCTATTGCTGTGTGTTTAGTTAGTGGCTTTTTTATTTCTCAATATGAACAACTGTAACAAACATAGAGCCATTCTTCAAAACTATATGAAGCAAATTATCAAACATAAAATAGAAATTCTGAATTGTTAGTCACAGGAACTCAAAATAACAAAGATATATTGATTTGTTATGAAATACATACACCCACTTTTGTGGAAATGAAATTTTCTGACATTTTAGTGTTTTTGTATTCCATTATCTCTCTTCTATAGAAATGATCAGGCCATTTGCCAGTTTTTCTCATGAAGTCGTAAATCTTAAAGAGAAGCTACATTCTCCACTGGCAGCTGATATTGGCCACCTGATTTTGTGTGTAAATATCAATATATACAAAGTAACTCAGAAGTGAATCGTTGCTACACATATTCTTTTGCACTCCAGGGGGAGTCAGAAATTAACTTGATTAAAACCCACATTTCTGCAGCTCAGTGAAAAGGTCTGTCCAGACAAGACTCTTTACCTCCCCCTGGTGGAGAACTGTCATGCTGTAATGACCACATTAAAACAAAACCCTCCATGGCTATCTGCTGCAAAGCTGTTATAATAAACACAAAAATTTCTGGTGGTAAGGCAGGATGCCTTATTTTATTTTTTTAAATTACTCTATTTTTTAAATATATTTTATTTATTTCAGAGAGGAAGGGAGAGGGAGAGAGAGATAGAAACTTCAATGATAACAGAGAATCATTGACCAGCTGCCTCCTGCACACCCCATTGGGGGTCGAGCCTACAATCTGGGCATGTACCCTTGACTGAAATCGAACCCGGGACCCTCCAGTCTGCAGGCCAATGCTCTATCCACTGAGCCGAACCAGCTAGGGCAGGATGGCCTTTTAGAAGAGATCCTTCTGGGCAATGCACAACTAGAGCAACCATATGTAACAGCCCTGAATAATAGTCACTAAAAAGAAGCCAGCCATTTCTCCTGCTCCCCAGCCAAGGACTGAGCAATCTGCTCCGCTGGCGGGAACACCTGCGTGCTGCTCCAGACCCAGAGCAGGGGGCAATGCAAGCGGTCTCCTGGGGTGATTTGACAACATGATTTCCTCCTTATCCAGCCCTCAGATGAGGGATGACCCTGTCTCCCTGGAATGTTCAGTCAGCATAAAACAGGCGTGGAATGGACAATGCACAGAAAATAAAATTAAAATGACCAACAAACAAATGCGGGAAATATTAACAATCACTTGTGAACAAATTACCAATGAAACAACACTATCAGTCAAGTCCAAGTCCTCCAGCCTGTCCTTGCTTTTCTAGAGCTCTCCACTAGGAAGACTGAGAGGAAGCATGAGGGAAGAGGGACTTTCCTTTCCTGTCCAGTGCTGCCCTGGCTATGCAGCCCTAGCACTGATGGAAGATCATGACAGGGGCAGTTGGTTTCAGATCTCTTTAGGGACTTTTTTAGGGGGACTCCCAGGACCCATCTCACCCTCTTCCGATAATGCCCAAACTTCCATCTTTGCCAAACTCCGCTGAGTTCCTAAATTACCAGCAGCACCAGCAGGAGCCCTCCCCCAAAGTCCGAGGGCCAGCTCTAGGCACGTCCCTCTCAGCACCCTTCCCCTGGCTCCCCCGCTGCTCCTGCAGTTGCTCTCTCAGATAACCTCAGTGCTCTGTCCCTGTCCTTCCACCCCCCACGCCCATACAATTCATCCCTCTATTAAATTCTACTTGGTGAAATCCCTAACATATTATATATTTATCCTAATTTGTTCTTAGATTCATACGTTTAGGTCATTCCCTTTTTCTATTAAAAAGAATACTGTAATAATAAACATTTGTACCCGTCTCTGGGTACACGTAGGTGAGAGCTTTCCTATGATGTGGAGCCAGAAGAAGGGTTGCTAGGTGACAGGGATGAGCATCTTCATCTTTGCTGGACAAACTCTCGCCCTGTGCTTCAGGAAAGCACTTTTACTCTCTACTAGAGGCCCGGTGCATGAATTCATGCACCAGTGGGGTCTAATGGCCTGGCCTTCGGGATCGGGCCAAAACTGGCTCTCCGAGCCCCCTTGAGGGATCCCAGATTGCAAGAGGGTACAGGCCAGGCCAAGGGACCATACTGGTGCATGATCAGAGCCTGGGAGAGATGCAGGAGGTTGGCCAGCCAGGGAGGGATAGAGGGAGAGCTCCAGGGCATGTCTGGTCCATCTTGCTCAGTCCTGATTGACCAGACCCCAGCAGCAAGCTAACTTAATGACTGGAGCATCTGCCCCCTGGTGGTCAATGCACATCATAGAGAGTTGTTGAGCAGCCTTAGCATTTCATTAGCATACTAGAAATTCGTGCACTTGGAGGGAAGGGACGGGGGAGTCCCTCAGCCCAACCTGCATCCTCTCACAGTTCAGGAGCCCTCAGGGGATGTCCAACTGTTGCATCACTGTGCTCACCAGCCATGAGCCCGGCTTCTGGCTGAGTAGCATTCCCCCTATGGGAGCGCACTGACCACCAGGGGGCAGCTGCTGCATTGAATGTCTACCCCCTGGTTGTCAGTGCATGTCACAGTGCATGTCAGTTCCACCATCAAGTTGATTTGCATATTAGCCTTTTACTATATAGGATTGCTCTTTGATTGATTGAACAGCCAACTGGTTGACCAGACACTTAGTATATTAGGCTTTTATTATATATAGGATTTTATTCATCACAGTTTGCATTCCTCCCTCGGGTATTACTAATGGCCCAGAGACCAAAGAAGGAAGCTGCCCTGGCTTCCATGTGGTAAAATAGTGGCAGAAGGGTCTGAGGTGGACAGAGGCGGCCTGAAAAGCTGGACTAGATCCTGGCCCTGTTTAACTTTGAGGGCGGGAGCAGCAGATCTCCGAGGGCTGATGCTTTGGCAGGGGAGGAACAGGCATCTCGCTTGGTGTTACAAATATTTCCAGACATTCTTCATACTGGTTCCTGCCAAGATGCCCTTTGTCCAACTGCGTCTGGTTCCCTGAGGGCTAACAGCCTTGGGCCTTTCCAGGCTGGAGGTACTGGACTCTCCCCAAGGCTGGGTTCCACAGAGCCAGAGCCCTAGGCCTCACCTGAGTCCCACCACCTCTTACCTCCCCAGGGTTCCGCCAGGGACTCTGCGTCAGTCCATGTCCACTTCCTCCCTTTCCTGCCGTCCCAGGGCCTCTCTGTCCTCACACACACACACACACACCTCCATGAGAAGCCGTCTCCCAGCCTGGGTTCTCACGGTGGCCTTCTGGGAGACCACAAATCCTACCGCAGATTCCAAGTCAGTGAACAGGCGTCCTAACACCCTGAGACTCCGCTTCCCAACCATCAGGGCAGGTGGAGGCTAGTTTGCTGAAATTGTAATTCATTTCTTCCCCTAGGAAAATAACATGTTTATTCACAACAACTCTGTGACCTGGCAGTGTCCTCCCTCTTTCTCAGGTGAGAGAGATGAGGCCTAAGTTAAAATAACTGGCCCGAGTG